CCTTACGATCTAAAGACGCCTCAGAGAGGCACGTGTCTTTTGTTGATCAAAATGGGAACTGAATTTTATTTCTTCTTTTAACCTAAAAGAACACCTTAGAACAAAGTAAATAACCTACTCACTTATGTCCTAATTAAACCTATTCAAAGATCTTGTAATCAATGGTTGACAGACATCAGTCTTCAACAATTGATACTTGTGTTCTAATATTAATTTAAATGGGATCCCATCCCTTGTGTGTACCACATCTATTGTCGACTACCAGTCGACGTGTAACCCCGTTACACCCCGGACGTTAAAACCGAAAGTCTCGACGAAGCAGATGATGCAATATGATGCAGCGGACCAATCAACACCGCACGAGAAAAGGCAGGTGTGATACGGCATGCAGAACAATACAATGTTCGAGCCGCAAAAGCTTGTTCTAAAAGTTCGATGAGCCACCGAGTAACATTACATTAGGGAAGCGTTTTGCAAGGAGCGAACACTTTAGCGAATTCGGTTCCATATCTCGTGGTCCTAATCTGGCAACGGCCACGCCAATCGATTCATCCACAGCGAGCTTTGGATCCATCGGGCACTGGATATTAACTTACACTCTTGCGGAGCTTTGACGTAATGTTGTGGAGTGCCGACATTTATTGCTGAGAACGAGGAATAAGCGACATCTTGTTCAGCGCACATACTCTCCAGAAGAGAAATTATGACGTTTTCACGTCCGGGCGTCGACTAAAGTTATACAACGTCGCTATCTTTGCCTGACTAGGAAAGCTACATCCGGGCCAAATCAGTCTCAGGAATTGGCTGATGATATTGCCGACGGATGAGAGCGTTTTATGACGTTTTTCTTGCCCCGACGCGATCGACGCATTTCCTGCCAGGGCCGCCCGCCGGACCGGGTTGATGGCACTTCCGTGACGTCGGATTTTTCTCCAGGCATTGCGAGCGCGATTGCAAGAGATTCAGATGTGTCAAAGCCGCGGGAACTGATGAAATTAGCAATATGATACAGAGATTACGCAGATGCGCTCGCGTCTGTTCTCGCTACACTGTAAAATAGATGGTTTAATTGCAGCGTGTAACCGACATCGTTAGGTAAAGCTAATATTTAGTCTTTCAAGAAATCGATGTTCTTCGTCTTGCCGCTCTATCATCGCCCTATCGCGCGAATCAACAGCGACTACGAGGTATTTACCAAGATTCTCTAATTTCGTATGCGACCGATAAATTCGCTGACCTACCGGATCTCCTGACAAATCGGGCAACAAAAAAGGTCACTGATCTTTAACATCGCGAATTTGTACTGCCTCTAGGCATATGTGGTCTCACTCTGCACTATTCCAGCGACTATTGCCGGTATATTGGTGTCCTGGTGGGACAACATAATGCGGTGGCTGATAACTGGAACAAGTGCATTCGTTCACTCTGAAGCCGACTTGTCCTACACCGAGAGAAGGATATCACGGTAAAACAACGTGCTCATCCTTTTCAGTTCCATCGCGGTGCCCAAATAAGCTTCTTAGCAGGCACTATTGGACTCGTCTCGCCCTAGGTACCCGGTTGCGCATATTGACTATGCTTTGTCTTAAGCGTTCTTGACAACGAGAAGTACCAACCCTGGGGCCCCTTCCGAGATGACTACACCACCTATCGATCAGTGTGGTCTAGCGGTACAGTGTATTCGAACAGAAATGATGCACATGGTGGCGATGGCACTTGTACAGTGAGCCACGACTGTTTCATTGCGAGACTTACTCATTGGTGACTTCTTATGGGGCTTTAGAGAGTCGGGTACAGCCCACATCACGTCTTCTGGGACGGAAAACAAGCACCCTTGATATTGAGCGACCCATTGGTGCCCAAATTCTCAGCAGTTCCGGGAACTGAGGCACCAATGAGTCGCTATTTTGCCAAAATGATGTTAGGGCGATCTGCCGACGATCTATCTCCTTTATGTCGCGAGCCGAGGTCGACTATAATGGCAACGGTAGTGTCATAATTGATGATCGACGGGTAATTGATGACAAACTAGGTGATGAGAGCTCAAGTAGCGTCGTCAGGGCAAATTAACCATTGATAGCTGCTCCACGCAACGTTTAAGGGTGTGTCGTGGCTGAAGCATCAATGGGGTCAGGTATATCTATGGAACGGATATCAATTTGCGCAGGGACGGAACTTCAATGGAGACACCATGTATTGGTAATCATTAAGAGTAACATTGTCTTGATTTTGCCCCCGAGTGACATGGAAACCCAATCAATGTCAAAGCGGCGGCATTTTGGGTCCGTTTGCCGTGCCCTTTGTACAACTTTCAAGCACTGAAATATCGGGCACTTGAGGCGGGTTCATTGCTTGCGTATTCGACGGTGCACCAATTTCATGACTGGCTTCTTACTAGTGACGGTACATCATTGACACATTTCGATACGGGCATGGAATGCGGTTAACCCCAGTCTAGTCGATGTCGGCATGCATTACAGCCGAATAAACACCCAGTGGGACTCCTGTCCACTCTGGCGCGCATTCGGAACTTACGAGCGTTGAACACATGTGATCTGGACGTCGACGATGGCAGCCCATCCGAAGCAAACTGAAATAGATTATCTCCCGGGGGCGTCATGCTAAATAAACTAGACTAACGGGTGAACGTGTGGAGAAGACGGACTTTTACGTAATTTCTGAAGGTAAACCCTCGATCACTTGGAGAGATATCCGACGAATACAAGCGTCCTTTCCGACCAACGCTCAGATGCTGCATCGTCTGAAGAACAAAAGCTTTTCGATCTGGAATTGGGCTACCCAAGATCTATATTTCCAGCACCTGAGTGTGTGGCGGCTGTTCCGTTCGTGATAAGCCATACACACTGGAACTGACATAGTGCGCGTCAACACTGGACTATCTCCTTGATCGGTGGCGATGGCTCAGTACTTTCAAGAAGTCGGACTTTACCGTCGGGGCGTTTGGTCTAGATCTCACAGGGCTCCCTCAACAGCCTGGCGTGTTGTTAGGCAATCTCTCGGACCAGGAGCCGATTCGTCGAATTATCAGGCTGCGGTTGTAACGGGGTGAGCCCGTTACATAAAAATTGGTGCGAAAGTACCAATTCTTTAATATTATCTATTTTGATGCTATTCAATCAACATCACTCGAGAAAAGCGATGTTGTCGGAATATTACTTCTAGGGGTAATATCCGTGGAGGGGTCCACTTCTTGGTTGATGTACCGTGTACATCAACCAATTCAACCACCAATCGCTGCTGGACGCGCGCAACGGGTGGTGACAGAAGATCCACATAGGAGACAGTAGTTTGATTTAGTTAGTTTAAGACGAAAGATGATTTAGTAAGAAAATAACCATATTAAATAACAGTTCTTTTTCCCCTCAAGACAGAGCTTTCGGGTTCTGTATGGTCTTGGTCGCGCTTCCTCACGCCACGTGTACGTGACGTCGGGCGTACGCACCCTTGAATTGTTATCAATACATGGCCTTGCTCAGTTATCTGAGCAAGAGCTTGCCTCGTTACAGCGGTCTTCCCAGCATCTCGCGAACTATGGTGTCTTGTCGTATCTACGACACTTTCGAGCCATCCGGGTCGAGCACCTCCGCCACATGGACGACTAGTCTTTTTCATAGGAGGTGCATACAGACAGATCCAGGACCATCTTTCGACGGTCGGTTAGATGGTTTCGTGGATCAACATACCATAGGACATGGGAAATGAAGGGCAACTGTTTGGGCAAGTGAGGTCGTCTTTAATCGATACTATCCTATGCTATGATGGATCGACTTCGTTGCCAGTGTTGTCTATCGAACAATGCTTAGTAGCTATACCTCCTATTTTCGGCAGAGAATACCGAGGAATTCTAGGTCTGGCGGAGCTGGATCCGTGATTGTCCAACCCCACATTTAGACGCACGCCACATGCGTTATGTGGGTATCGAGTATGGTATATGGTTCTGCAGATACCAGAAACAATGTTGCGGAATATCGGGTGATCGCGCACGGTCTTCGACAAGAGAAGGCAAATGGCTACTTATCCCTGCATGTCATTGGGGACAGTGATATCGTGCTTTAGCATGTTCGGACTAGACACCCTCCATGCAAGGCATAACTGCTGAGGCTGTTTCGAGAGTCAGGCGCCATCGCTAACGATATCGATGTCTCCAGCCTAAAAGAATCATTATTGTACCTACAACAAAATAACGGATCGCCTGGCGAATACGGACACAGGGGCTTCTATTCAGTACACGCTCCATCAGAACAAATGTACTGCCAAGGACGCTACGGCCCTCCTTAGAATTTTACGTCAACCACTGGCTGAACACTTCTCACACCGAACATCACGTACTACAGAGCCCCGCGCTGACTTCGAGGATCCTGATCATCTCGAGACAAGACTCTGCGCGACGGCGCTCTGAGGTCCGAGGACTAGCATTACCTACTATATATATAGCTGTAGAGCCGCCACTGTAACTTTGTTGCCAAGCGACAGGATATAGCGGGTCGTACGCTTACCTAGATATACCTCACCTTCTTGATCGCTCTTTCTTAGATTTCTGTGAAGTTGGCAGTTTGCGTTATGTGGATCACGCTTGTCCAACGCTACCCTTTTTGCGCAGATAAATGCCAAGCTGGCAGACGTGATCAACGACTGCGTAGCTGAGTGTACTACGAAGCGGTCTATCTCAGTGTTTGCAACGTCACGCCCTCAAGTCCCTAAAGGTTACACCGGACTGGTGGTCAGCCCACCTATTATGGACGGGTGACACACAAACAAAGGACAGTAAACCCACTTTAATCGTTGCATAGTTTACAGGTCCGTAGCACGCGCTCTCGCCGCGCATCGACCCGAGAGCGTCCCTATCGCAAGCCGAATCTCTATCCCCCTAACGCCGTCTCGCTCATCCCTCTCGACAGTTATCCTCCTCACCACGACAATTATTGTCGACGACTTTGCCCCACGCGGTCCGTCCGTCCGTCCGTAAATTCGTCCGTCCAATGCTGTGGGTCGACAAGTACCGCCCGACGTCGCTCTCGTCGCTCGACTTCCACCCCGACGTGACCAAACGGCTGCAGAACCTGTCGCAGTCGTCCGACCTGCCGCACCTGCTCGTGTACGGCCCCTCGGGCGCTGGCAAGAAGACGCGCGTCATGGCGCTCCTGCGCGCGCTCTACGGCGACGGCGCGCTCAAAGTGCGGCTCGAGCACAAGGCGTTCAGAGCTCCGAACCGCAGCGCAAAGGTCGAGCTCACGACCGTCGCAAGCAACTTCCACATTGAGATGAACCCGTCGGACGCGGGCGCGAGCGACCGCCTCGTGGTGCAAGAAGTGCTCAAGGAGATCGCGCAGTACCACTTGGCCGACAGCAACGCGCGGCAGCCGTTCAAAGTCGTGCTGCTCATGGAGGTGGACCGCCTCAGCAAACACGCGCAGCACGCGCTGCGGCGCACGATGGAGAAGTACACGGCCACGTGCCGCCTCGTGCTGTGCTGCAACAGTCCGTCCAAAGTGATTGAGCCGCTGCGCAGCCGCTGCCTCGGCGTGCGCGTGGGCGCCCCAACGACCGACGAAGTGTGCAGTATCTTGCAGGGGGTCTGTGTCAAGGAGGGCATCGACTACTGCGCTCCGCTGGGCGAGCAGATTGCGGCCAAGAGCGACCGGAACCTGCGACGGGCGCTGCTCATGCTCGAGACGTGTCGCGTCCAAAAGTACGTCGACGCTGTCTGTTGCTGGTGACGGACGCGTCGTGTCGTGTCTTGTGGGTTGTGACTGAACAGAGTGCGTCGTGTGTTGTTGTTGTTGTTGTTGCTGCCTGTGTGTTTGAATGCGCTCGCAGCTATCCGTTCTCTCCTGACCAGCGGATCCAACTGCCGGCGTGGGAAGAGTACGTCTGCGGTCTGGCAAAAGTAGTGCTGCAAGAGCAGTCGCCTGCTGGGTACGTTGCGTGGCCGACAGAGAGTGTGTGACGTGGGGGAGCTCACTCGCTTCGGTCGCTGTTTCTGCCGTCCGTGTGCGTGTGTGTCTCTCTCTCTCTCTCTCTAGTCTCTTGAAAGCGCGTGAAATGATCTACGAGCTCCTCTCCAACTGCGTGCCGTCCGAAGTGGTCCTCAAGGTGCTCTGTCGGGAGCTCATGAGCCGCCTGGACGACGACCTCAAGCACGAGCTCGTGCAGTGGGCTTCGTACTACGAGCACCGCATGCAGCGCGGCTCGAAAGACATTTTCCACTTTGAGGCCTTCTTGGCCCGGTTCATGACGCTCTACAAGAAGTTCCTGCTCGACTTGTACATGTAGCGACTAACGAGCGAGAGCAATACACCTATCGAGACCACGGCGTTCCGTTATGTACGGCGGTCCCTCGTCGACCACCAGTCAGCCAGTCAGCCATTCCCTGCGCAGGTGAGAAGCCCATGTGGGAGCTCGTCGTGTTAGCGCGTTTCGAAGCGCTCCAGTCGATGCTGTCCAGCGACGAGCGCGAGAACGTCCAGTTGGCGGTCTGTGAGCTCCACGAAGTCGCGCGCGTCGATGCGGCGATTAGCCGAAAGGCGACTGCAGCCAGTGATTGTCACGACACGGAGGACGCACTCACTGTGGCCGGCGACAATGGATCGGCACATCTGGAACGGTACGGAACGAACGAGTCGATGGTGGGCCGTCCGTCGTCGTTGCAACGCTTACTCTGCTGCTGCTGCTGAACTGCTGTTGTTGTTTGTCGGTGGACACCGTACCAGGTGGAAGAAGTGGAGGCTCGAGGGCGAGCAGATTGACCGACTCACGGCCACAGTCGGTACGGCTGCAACCGCTGCGCTGCAACTGCTCGAGGCGCGTGTGGCCAATCTGCGCTTCTTTGCGCGTGGGAAACGGGGCGTCTTGTACGCCGGTGAGCTGCGCTCGAGCGACGAGGCAGTGGTGGCGAAGCTCGCAGCCAGTGCGTCGGCCACGCACTCGGTGACGCTGGAAGCGCAGTGGCTGCGCGTGGTCAACCGCATGGGGCTCGGGCCAAAGCTCCTCGACGCAGGCAGCGGCTGGTTCCTCTGCGAGCGACTGCAGGGGAAGAACGTAGTGGCGTTCCTCGCGCAGGACGACGACGTGGCTTCGCCCGCGAACGCCGTCTGGCTCGTCCGGGAGATGCTGTGCCAGGTACGCCGCGCTGCAGTCCGTCCGTCCGTTGTCCGTCCGTCGGTCGCAAGCTGAACGAACGCTTCGTCGTCGCTGCTGACTCGTGTTTGTGCCAGCAGTGCTTTGCCATGGACCTCCTCGGCGTGAACAAGGAAGAGATGACGCACCCGCACCGCCACGTGCTCGTGCACCGCTCGAGGGAGCCGCCGACAGTGTGGCGCTGCACGTTCGTGGACTTTGAAAAGTGCTCGTCGACCACGAAGCCCAAGAACGTCACGCAGCTCTGTCAGGTCCGTGCCGATAGATGAGACGCGTTGCCAGGCGTTCCTGACCTGATGAAGACTTCTCTCTCCGTGTCGCCAAACAACGTGTTCATGTCCGCAGTTCCTCAGCTCGCCGCGCATGATCGGTCTGCTCCAGCGCAAACGCGTCCACGTGGACATTCCGCTGCTGCGGCAGCGCACCAAACGCTACAAGCACAGCCACTGCCGCAGTACCTTCGGCGACGTTATGCGCGTCTTTGGGCTGTAGCAGTCGCCACCTCTTTCTCCTCCTTCGCCCACGTGCGCGCACAGGGCACTGCATCGTATCCAGCAACGAAACAGCTCCACCTCTCACTCACACACACACACTGCTGCTGCTCAGTTCCCAATCTGCTGTCCCTCCTCCTCCACAACCACAAGAGCCACCGCCGACACTTATCGATACAGATACATACACAGACAGGTACACCACAGCCAGCGAGAGACCGGTGCGGCTGCATGACCACTCGCAACACGCGCTACTGGCGCAGCTTTCTGTCCGACCTGCTGAGCTCTCGAGACAGTCCCAACAACGACTGCCCCTCGGACGGCTTCTACGACGGCGTGTGCGTCCTGACGCTCTTCGGTCGCGTCGAGTATCGCGACGGGTGTTTCCAGTCGGCTTCGAGCCGTTTTCTCGACGTAAACCCTCTGCAGCTCGTGGCGCTGTTTGACGACCTCACGCGGCACGCGCTTCAAGAAGCGGTCGGGGGCGACAGAGAGCGGGCGACAGCTGCGCTGCGTCTGGGCGCCACCGTCTTCCACGTCGTCTCGGCCACGTTCTCGAGCGTCTGCGCCGTCACGCGCGGCCGAAGTCGCGGCCTCGTGGTCGAGAAACTCCCGTTTGGGGTCGTGGCGGTCGCGTTCTCGGCGCCACTGCAGCTCGAGACGGTCTTCCGGCACGTCGATGGAGCGTGTGCAGCGCTGCGGCGCTGAAGGGACCGATGGCTGCGGCAGGATGCTCGTGACTGGGGCCTGCGCTCGGGTGCTGCTGGATTCGGGAGGCTTGCTGGACCGCAGACAGGAGCTGTGGCTGGTCAGAGTGGACGGACGGACGGACGGACGACCTGTAGGCGACGACAGGTGAAGTGGCAGTGAGACGACGGTCGTTGTCGAGCTGATGGAAGTCTGACACGATACGAACAACGAGCTGTGCGTGCAGGGGACCGTGTTGACGGACAGGAGCTACTGCAGGTGCAACGATGCGAGAGGCTCTCGTGATGAGACGGGTGTGGCTGAGACTGGTCGAAAGTGTGCGCCATCGAACTCCATTTGCTGCCCTCGTTCACGCAACAACTTCTTGCTCAAGTACTGGCGGCCATCACATTTTCGGTGGGACTGACAGCGGCGCTGATGAAGGCTGGAGCTGCACCTCCGCCGTATGCACAGGTGCCGGCAACATGATGCGCTGTAGCGTGTTGATGACAGTCGCGCGGCAGGTGACGTTCTCCCCCATCACTGCAAACACAATGTCCTCGTGAGTGCAGTCGCCTACTTCGCAGTACTCGGCAACTTGACCCGCTTCTGTCTACCGTACAGAACAGCGACGCACGTGTTAGCAGCTGACACTCGACCACATCCATTACACTGCCACGTTGCGCGTACCATGACACGCGCGAGCTTTATCGACGAGCTCGGGGGAACGACCTGCATGAAAGGTCAGTTACCACACATACAACTCGTCTCGGGTTCTTCGTGACGGCTCGTGACGTACCGTGTCATTGTCTCCATGCAGGAGGTAGAACGGGGGGAGCGAAAAGTCTACCGACGTGACACGTGCGCAACCGACAAGTCAGCCTACTCCACGTGACTCGTGAACAGCTCAAGTAGGACGAGCTCCGTACCGACGTGTTTCGCCTCTTCGAGTTGCGCTGTCGGACTGTACTTTTTGAAGTTGTCCACGCCCAGCATGGCAGGCTTCATGGACGAAATGCCGTGCACTCCTGTGCATCACGAATGACACGCCTTAGTTGGGGAGACCTAGCGCACAATGAACTTTGGGTGTAAGGAGACGTACCGTTCAGCGGTCCCATGACGCGTTCGCTCTCGAAAATGTAATGATCGGAGATGTCGTACGGCGCCGCGAGGCCAATGAATCCACGCACGGAGTTCGCAATCTCCTTTCTCGAACCAGTCTGCAGACACAAAGCGGTCGACTCAGCGTGTCGAACGGACACACATGGCAGGACAAGACCGAGCGTACCTTCTTGTCACTGCTAGCGAGACGGAGAGCCGACTTGACCAAAGCCAACGCTCCGACGTGTCCACCGGACGAGTGGCCGCTCACGAAGAGCCGGTGGCGATCCCCACCAAGCGACTGCGAGCGCTCGGCAACCCAGAGCACCTGTCATCATCATGGCACCTGCATTAGCGTCCGCAGCGCCAACAGGCTCCCAATGGGAAGCCCTGTCCATCACTCAGGCACTCAGTCACTCAGTTAGGCACGTACGGCGTTCTCAATGTCTTCGACCATCTCCACCACTGAGCCATGAGGAAACGTCCTGTAGCTCACGATCGCCACCAGGAAGCCGTGTGTGGCCAGGTACTGTCCGACCAGAGCGTACTGCCACTTGTGGCCGTAAGACCACGCGCCTCCGTGCAGGAACACCAGCACTGGCTTGTTCGTTCCTCCTTCGATGCCGTAGATGTCGAGTCGCTGGCGCTTGTGGTCTCCATAGCAGCGGTTGACGCGACACCCGCGAGGTGTCCATAGCAGCAACCGACTGAGTCGGAGGACCAGCAGCGGCTTCAGGAGACACAAGAGGTACTCGGAGCTGGCAATGAGCTGCCCGATGGACGTGTACTTGAGAGCGGCGCGCACGACGGCCAACCAATGGAGACGAGGACGGCTTCGCTGCAATTGGGCGTGTTGTTGACAGAGACTGCGTCCAGTGTGGCCGGCGTAGGCACAGAGCGCTACGACGAGCATGAACCGCTGCATTGGGGTCATCACGACTGATGGCTTATGATCTCTATGATCACGATAGTGATGATAATGATTATCATGATCATAAAAAAAATGTGGTTGCCATGATTAGTATACTTATTGTCGCGATTATGATTATGTTGTTTAAGGACACGGCGCTGTCGGTCGACTGTCGATCGTTCAGCGGGGCCAGCACTCGGTCACATACAAAAGTGCAGTCAAAGTGGATCATCTGCCTAGTACGGCACGTACTCGAGCTGCTTGCAGTTGTCAAACTGGGCGTCGTCGGGCGAAACGAACTTTGCCAGAGGATCGATGCCCGAGAACTCCTTCCACTGCTCGAGCGTTCGCTTCGTGCCGAGAGCAAACTTCTCCAGGTCGGTGTGATCAAAGTCTTCTTTCGTTACAGGCAAGTGCAGGATCGCGCGAACGCGACGCTTTGACTTTTGCTGCACTGCGTACCGCTTGCTCCAATTGCGCTCCCACACCACCTTTCGGGTCTCGTACCAGTGGTACGCAACGTCTTCCGACGGCGCGTAAAAGTCGTAGCCAGCAGTCCAGAGCCGTGTTGCACGTGAATACTCTTCGCCGTGGAAAAGATAAGGTGTGTACGGGTCATTCCGCACCTCCTTCACCTGTTTGCAATCGCCAAAGTTGAACCCACCGGCCAGCTGCGACATCAATCGCGGCTTCGGCGTATCCTTCTTGTTAATCCAAGCAGGAGCCGCGTACTGCACCATGGCGTCCCGGTCGTTCGTCTCGATCCGCGACATGCACATGAGCTGCACCAAGTCATCCACACCGTGATCCGTCAAATGTTCAGTCGACTTTGGGTAGATCGAAATGATGGCGTTCGGATTCTCGATCGAGTCCCACTGCGCGATGATCTTCTCGTCCCAATCGCGCACAAAAATCATGTGCGAGTCAATGGTCAGGCAGAAATGCTCGTCCGTGATGGCCTTTTCCGTCTCGTACCGCGCAGCAGTGGGCCCCTACACCGCATCCGATCAACACACATACCCATCAGCAGCAGCAACAAGTGAGTCAACAGCCGCCCCCAAACAACAACAACCCAGACGCTTCGTCAATGACCTACCGTCGCATTCACAGCGTCGATCTGAGACGACACAATCTGCTCACGGCGACAGTTGTCTTGCCCCACGAGCTCACAGAACACGTCGGCGCACGAGCGCTCGTCCCGTGCAGGATAAATCTGATCATAAATGCTAATCTTGAGATTATCCGGCGCTGCTGCATTGTCAAAAATCGACCGCAATGTCTCCGAGCACCTAAGCACGTCAGAAACACCATTTGTGTCCAGAACTAGTCAGCAAACGAGCACCTGAAGGACAGGACCAAACTCAAACAGACACAAATACCCCACTGGTTGCACGTGACAACTGCTCACCTGGTCGAGTCGCGGTAATTGGCGACCAGAACGATCGTGCGACGGTCATTGACAATCGACCGAGTCGCTGCGAGCGGCTGCGACAGAGAAGTGGCAGCTGCTGCGGCGTCGTCCGAGCGCAAACGCGCGCTCTGCTCGGCAACGAGACGGTCTCCTGCGGTCGTGTGGGCAGTGTACTCCTGTAGATAGAGGAACTCGTACAGCACCACAACGAGACAGACAACGGGGACGACAATGAGCAGCGCGACGCGCAGGTCACACGCTGCGCCTCTTTGCTGCTCGCCGCGGGAGCTCACGCGGCCGAACGGCTGAATTGCTGCCCGCATCGCAAGTGTTGTTGACGTTGTTCTGGGCGTTTGTTATTGTTATTGTTGTTATTGTGTGTTGTTATTGTGTGTTGTTGTTGTTGTTGTTGTGTGTTGTGTGTTGTTGTTGTCGTATGTTGTTGTTGTATGTTGTTGTTGTATGTTGTTGTATGTTGTTGTCCTGTCTTGGGTGGACCGTTTTTTCAGGTGGGTGTTTGCTCGCGTGACAAAAGGGGGTGTAGTGGGTGGAGAGCGTTTCGAAAGAAGAGAGGATGTGCATGGAGGTCGAGGGGGTTTTCCTCTGCCGACGGTGAGACGCGCGCGGCCGTTTGCAGGTACTGTAGGACCACACAAACGAAAGTATGTGTTTGACTGCCTTTGGTCGCCGCGTCGTAAAGAGTTGCGCAGCACCTGTTAGCTTGGAAACGATGTTGGAAGAGTGATCCCAGTTGACAGCATGCAATTGCATGATTGACTCGAAACGGACGGTGACGACGAACTCTTTGTCAAAAGCGCTGACACTCGGTGAGTAGATATTTCCTGCACGGGCTGGTGTCGCCCACGATGTCAAATCTGAGTTTATGCTGCCCTCCGAGCAAGCAGTTTGCTGGCTTGTACGCTTCTTGCGCTGTGATTGTGCGCGTGCGATTGCGCTGGCATGTCTAGTTCCACTCGAATGAAAAAGTGAGAGCTCAAGCTTGACGGAAATCGCCAAGTGCGAGGGTGTCGACACTGGAAGGTCAGCGATTGGAGCCAATTCGAGTCTCATGGGCTGTACTGATAGTCCGTGTCAGAATAAAAAGCGTGCACCCCAGTGCAAAGCAACACCTTGTTGACTGACCCGAGCGCTTCAGTGTCGCAAGAGTCATCACGCCCGTTGGTTGACCCACGAGCGGCGGTCTGCTGCTCAGTCGAAAAGATGGGTACCGGATACACGGCAAAACGACTTGCATCGTACGCAGTAAGAACAGGATGCCATCGACACAGCGATCTTTGGCGATAACGAGCAACGAGTCCAATGACGATCGAAACTTTGGCTTGCCGCGATTTTTTTCCGCTGACACTGTCTCACTCAACTTGCTGAGATTTTCGTGCTGATCGCTCACGAGTGATCAGAATGATCCATTTGTCTTGGCAAGACGACATTGCCAAACATACTACGACTGAGGCGTCTCTATCGTATCGATCACTCACTACTATCTCCATGTGTCGATATTCTGCCATCGACGAATGCGTCGTCAAACAAGCACAAGTAATGTAGGCCTCGTGCGATCTGCGCGTTTGTAGTAGCCACTCGTAATGTATGCCTATCCTTACACAGCGATAGGAATGCTGGTTTGTTTTCATTTCATTCACTCGCCGACTAGCGCTACTATGCGCCTCAACTTCTCTCTCTGTCGTCGACGCGTTGTCGCAGAGATGGCAGACCCACATACGCTTGATAACGACTCCGATAGAATCTGTTAGAAGAAGTGGTGGAAGGTGGTGGACTCGCCCACTTGTCCGTTTCAGCCAAGTTGGCCAATTGGCTGTTTGGAAGTTTCACGAATCCCCGTACGAGGCGCCTCCGCCTCGGCGGTTGTGCACTCTCTCTCTCTCTCTCCAAGTAGTGGATGACAGCAAGCCAACGACGTAAAGAGCAGGTAAAGCAATGAGGAGGGTACACCTTGCGAACATGCGATACACTCACGTCGGCATTCGCTCAAGCAGCTTTTCAGTGCTATATGCGAGGTCAGCTGCAGCGTATTTTCAGTCTATGTGATAGCAAATGCGGTGCAACCTCGGACTTTTCGAGCGCTAGCTCGCCTAGTCCTTTAGCCCGAAGCAGGATCCAAAGCAGCTGAGCATTTGCTTCTGCTAACCTACTGCTGGCTTTGCTAGGAAATGCCGAGTCTTCGATCCCATGTGATGAGCTTCGTTCGTCGTGCCTTATCTGAGCGTAGCTTTTCAGACGCGGGCGTACAGCGTAGTTAATGGGTCTTGAGCAAAACGGTCTTACCACAAGAACGCTGCACGGCAAGATCTTAGATCTAACTTCATACCTTGATCATGCACACAAGTACATGTTCTATGCCACTATCAGCGGAGATCGCAGTATCTACCTAGTGCAACGATGACTCCCACGCCGATAAAGTACTAGACAAGTAAAGACGTACTCAAACTCTACTCACGTGCTAAACTTAACTCTGTTCCTCTGCATCCTCGTGGAGATAGCTGACGTTCCTATTCCTCGACGTCGACCGTGCCAGTCAAGGTTGTCGTACTCAGCGAGAGTTACTCTACGTTCTCTCTGCTCACGTTTGCGTAAGCGGAGAGAGCAGGTACACCTTTATGCCAGAGCAAGCACCCACCTGATGATGTATGGACACGCGACCCATCCATCCAGGTTTGCATACACGAAAGAGCGAGTGCGTTGTCATCCTGAGTCTTGGAATTTGGTGTACTAGCCTTCTTGGAGGATATCGTTTCCATTTCCCGCCTCGACTGCTCAGATGTCGGCAAGTTGCAGCTACTTGGAAAGCCATGCGTACACGCTAGTTTGTTCGTCGTGTTGTAGTCAATCGCTTGCGTCTTCTACTCAGCTCAAGCACGTTGACCGTGTCATCTGGCTTGAACCCTCGGTTGGCTTCGAGCGCATACCTGGGCCAATGAGTATCATGTGATCTGTACCCTGGACTGACCTTTCAAACGGGTGAATATGCTTCGAACTGGATGCTATGCTTTGGCTGTGACATATGCCGTTCGAGCATACTGATCCATGTGAGACCAAGACCGTCCTGCTGGCAGTATTTGACAAGCATACTATCTGGACGTCGGAACTGACCATTGGTCTCTTTCCTGAAGTCTGAAGCGACTAGAAGAGTGCAAACAATAGTTGCTGAACGTCTACACCAAGTGCAAATGAGGCTCGAATGGGAGAGCTGCTTGCAGCAGTTACGCTAACCAAAGTCCTGATACTGCATCCGGAAGGCGGTGACAAGATGTACTTTGACGGCTTTTGCTAGTGGCAAACGATATGTGTTGATTCGGAGCGCCCACAACTCATGGTCTGGAATCGGTGCAGCGTGAGGAACAAACAGAACGATATACACCATCGCCAGAATGTCGTAAGATCGGGCACACGCGAATCGATCGGATGCAGGAGAGGACTCCCAGTTTCCAACATGATACAATCCATTGAAGTGAGAAAAGTGCACAAGTCTAGCTCGACTCGGTCGTGCAAACAACTGGTTGAAGTAAATCGACTCGATCCACAGCCGAGATGCCGCATGCAAGGGCTCAACCACAAAGCTCAGGGTCAGAACAGCGTGAGCGAAAACGATAGGGCGTTTTTGCTTTTCATAAACTTTAATGGTTGACTCAACACCGCTGTGCTCGCGGTTTCCATCCACAATAAGAGTCAACAAGGGGCGGTTATTCTGATGTTGGAGAAACATAGAGCAGCCTCTCTAAAAGCAAAGCAAGCAACGCACGTGGTATGTAGTGCGCGGAAAAGATAAGCCATATGCCGCAGACGCGCAAGCCAAGCACCAATAAGCGTCTGAACATGTAACGATTCGGTTGACTCCTTGATGCAGTATCTTCTCCCCTTTTCCTTCAAACACTAGCAAGCAACGGCATTTGTTGGATTCAACCACCTTTGGGTAGTGTCGTCAAGGTGTCTGACGCCACGCTCTCTCAGTCGCCGAGGGTACGTTTCGACAAGTTCTGGTCGAATCTGTGTCCGGAGACGTAGCAGGTTACTCCATCCGATCGACTCCTCGGTCCTAGATAAGCTCTTTCGCGATCTTGCCTTCCGTGAATGGATGCATTGTGTAGGTCAAACTCGAGCTCCATCCGTTCTTTAGGTGTGCGGCGGAAACAAGTAGTGCTCCAGTGTACGGACGTTGCTTGCTGCACTCTGCTTACCTTCCGAGAATCCCAGCTTACACGTTCCATTGGCACCGGACGCCTCCACACAATACGACGTTGCCGCCAGTCTACTGAGGGAGAAGAATGATTCTTTCTTGGCGTATCGTTTGTCCATCCAGATTTAGATCTCGTCTGACAATCGCAAGCCCCATTTGTTGCCATGTGCGACGTGTTCCGTCGCCCAGTGAGGCATATTTCAGCATCTTGACTAGAATCTGAACCATGCAACGCTTTTGTGCGGGACGTTGACAAGCTAGATTTGTCAATTGGACCGAATTTCGTGCAACGTGACAGTAGTCCTTGGATACAGCTTGCAATTAGTCAGCAAAAATTACTTTGCCTGTCAGAGTAAGATGTGCGTCAGCTTGGAGCAGAGCTGCGCTAGGCTGGCCCCTCCTCCGGTAACGGTAGACCACTTGTCTCTCTCTCTCTCTCTCTCTCTCTCTCTCTCTCTCTGACACTCGAGACGGGCTTTTTCAATGTCAAACGAAACGGGCAGCTCGTTGTCTACTCAATTAGTCAAAACCACTGCAACTGTCATCATCTGTTTGACGCTCCGTATGGCGTAGCGCAGCATGTCCAGTCAAAATTCGCCTTCCACGAAAACGCACAGTACGAGTGCTGCAGTGTTTTGAACCCCTTGCTGCTCAACCATCTAGCACGCTGGACATCCGGAAGGGCTACACTGAGCTACATTCGTTCCATCTTTGTTTTCTCCGACTTGCTGCGATCCGTCTTGACTCTGAGCACAAGACACCTGGTATCGCCTCAATAAGCTCCAATGCGCAACGCTGTGAGCAACGCTTGGTACAGGCACAGAGACCGAAGCTCATATTACTTGGGCCTGTTGTACAAATGGCCTTCTCGAGGCGACGTTGCCTACGCTCCAGTTCCGGAACAAGTCAATTATAACGAAGAGTACGATCGTCGAAACTATGTGCGCTTTCCGAGGCGCCAACTTTGACGTATCTACACTTTCGACATCATTCCACAACGATGGCACGACTGCATTGCTTCCACACGGACTCCCACCCTCATCTCGCTTTTGGTATCTGACTAAGTTTCGTCAAGTGAGAGAAAACCCACTGCCGCAGACTCATTCCCAACGCTTGACTCTGCATGTCGAGACATCGACTTTGGTCTTGTATGTTCGACGGAAGCTGCGTGTCGAAGAGGTCGCTGCAGACATGGGAAGAGCTGCCGACCAGCTTTATCAGTTCCCCTCGCGGCACAATGAGTCCGCTCATTGTCACGACCTTCCACAGAATAGCCACTACAAAACGGAGTCTTCATCCATCCAAAGCCGCAGTTGGTGGCTCAGAAGCCGTCGTTGTCGTGGTAAAAGTCGAAAGCGCAACCACTCTGCACTTGCCAGTGTCTTGATGCCCAGATCAAAAACGGTCGGTTCCGTGAGACTTTCTTCGACTGCCTTGATCGATTCCAGCAGCGTGCGGACGAGCACAGCGTCATAGTGCGCACCGCTGACTCCCACGACATACACGCAGATGTTCGAACATACTAACGTCACTTGAACCAGACGACGCGACTTATCGCATGGCAGCAAAAGGCTACATAGCGATTCATTTTCTGGCGCATCCAGATGCCCACTTGATATGAAGTCAAGGCTCTGCCCAGAAACGGTCAGCTGATTCTCGTCCGAAACAACCCAAATACCATGCGCAAATACCAGGTTACTTCCAACTTCGTCCGGCAGTACTTTGAGCTTGTAACGGAGCAGTTCGTTGGGCTGTGCACCGACACGCGAGGCTGAGTCGGAAAATGGCGTTTGGTTGCTATTTATCCCGTAGAGCAGACCATCTGATGCCATAGACACAAGCGATGCTACGCCACCCATAGGTCGAGCGACAATACCGACCAAGCCCATGCCGACACCGCCCACTACATTTCGAAGTCCAGTGTCAAGACCTTGTCTCTGGCGTTCCTTGTAGACAGCAATCGGAGTAGTGACTACGCCGGCTGCAGCACCGACCACGCTCGACCCCAGCGCTCCCAAACCTTCAGCAAGAGCTGATGACAAATGGGTCGGTCGGATGTAATGGCGCTTCCGAAGCTGATCCACTGGCAATGTAAGTTGATCTACCGTTCGCGAGATGGAATATGAAAAGCCAGACACAGAGGTAAGCGTTGCTACCGTTGCATGGCCCAGAAAAGAGGCAACGCCGCCCACGACGCCCTTCGTAAGCAACCACGGATTGTAGCCTTTTTTGGACGCAGCTAGGGGAATTTCGACAAGGTTTCGAACTCCCTGGCCAAAACTTCGTACAAAACCTCTGCAGCACAAAAGAAATAGAACATACGTCAGTCACAAGTCAGGTGTAAACCTCAGCTTTGTACGCTTACGCGGGGTTGCCGATAATGTTCAGCGACATCAAAAGCAATGGAGAGCGGACAATCGTATCGGCCACATAGTCCGCTGCCAAATCCTTGTATAGCTGGTCAGGGAAAGAAAACACGTCTCGCAACTTGGTCGACCCGAAGTGCAACGGTGTGCCATCAAAACTGTTCAGAACAGGAATCGATACACGCGCAGTGATGATCACATCAATGTTGCTGATTTCGAGATGTTCGATGTACACTTTGCGCTGCGTTGATATCATCGCTGATTCGTATGCATACAAGCTCCAGACGTCGTCATGAGAAGTTTCGCAGTCTCGAGTTCCACATTTGCCAATCATGCCTGAAGCAGCTTCCCCTCCAAAGGCGTCAAGCATTGGACGGATGAACGCGTTCATGTACGACAAGATGTCGTCTTCAACCTACAGAATATCACACAGTTGTTTTACGAGAGGCTCCACAAACATACGACACATGAGTCAATCGTACCTGCAGGACGGCCGGGGACAGCTTCAGCTCAACAGTGTGGAAGTAAGACGGAACATTGACCGGATCCCATGTATCCACGTAAATGACCCTGGCGAGTAGGCTCACATTCTCCTTCCCTGGCAACTGTTTGCCAAGGAGATTGCCGACTAGATCTAGTTGCAGCAATTTCTTTGACTCATGAGTTTTTTGAAAGCAGAGAATCAACGGGAAGTTGCAAGTATTCAAGGAATGCCCCACTTCAATGTCACCGATCGCAACAAAAACGGTCGTGTACGATCGGATGTGTGACAAATAGCCCAAACGCGCACTGTGAAGGGACACCTCAGGCGGATCGGGAGCCGTAGCAAACACAGCCGATACTGCATCACAAGTCAACCGCAGAATCTCTGGGTAAACGATCATACCTCTCTCATCCTGCACGGGGTCGTATTCGTCGCAGAAACGAAGAGACAACTCCTCCACGACCAAACTAACTCTCAGCGACGTCGGCTTAATACCCTGCAATGTTGCCGGCGATGCCATTGCAGGCGAAATTAATGATGGCGCTTGACCCAACGCGTGACTATCACGCGTTGGGTCCTCCAGACAGGTGATGGTTATCACCCACGATCCTGCTCGATACAGGCACATAACCAAGAAGGTGGGAGTTGCTGTATCGACCGCGCCCTCTTTCTCATTCGTGAACGACGCAAACTGAATCCCACCGACTTGCCAAAGCGCGTTCGACCACCCGTATTGCGGCAATCCGATCTGGAAACGCATACGGTCATTCTTTATCGAGTCAGACATGGGCACGCTTTCTAGCGATTGTGAGTCTCGTAGCCAGCCGCTCAGCAGTTCGTTAGCGTCCTCATCGCTCCTTTTAGGAATATCTTCTGCTTGTTTTTGCGTCGATTTGCGCCGCCTCTGAGATATCTACAAACAATGGCGTGCATGACCAATTGCGATCCGTGCCATACGACCAACAGTACAAAGTCGTACCTGTAGGTCCCAGTCGTACTCGAGGTAGAAGGCTGCGCCAACGCCTTCTGGGTCCGATGAGAACGACACACTTCGAAAGCCCAGCGCTCTTTGACACTGGTTGTAGATTACCACAGGCGGCTGGTGATCATCGAAGAAGAGTACCTGAATCGACTTCCCGTTTTGCGTCACTGTATACGTCAGCATTTTGTGTCTGAAGTCACGGTGGCGAATCAGTAAGCGCCTTCGGTGAGTGGTCGTAGAGGGGACTGGATATAGGTTATCGGTGTTTTTCGATGAGGTCGATAGTGGTCGCGCCTCAACCCTTTCCAAGTTGCCGACGGGATCAGCCAGAAGAGAGGCTTCCGGGAGCATCACCGATATCTCCTCTGTCCAACTATAACCATCTTCCACCAGACTTACCCGAAACGAGCAAGAAATTCTTGTTACTAAGACCTGGTTCGAAGCCTTCACGGCATCCTCGCCCGGATGCCTTGACAGCTTGGAGCTAAACCAGGACGACACACCAGCAGTAAAGCCTTTCTTTTCTTCTTCTTTGTGTAGATATACGGGCACACACCATCCATGGTTGTTGTGTGGTATCAGCTGTTGATCAAACAAATAAGCGTAAACACATCAGCTGGAGCAGTGAAATATGGCGTTGCTCTGCATGACTACAACGTAAACGCACCGACGGTTTGTCTTCATTCATTATGCGGCCTTCGCGATCTGTAGGAGCGCATACCAGCGAGCAACTCTGAAGATTCACAATGAGTTAGTTCTACGCAAAAGAGCACATTCATCGATTGGACACACACGTTACCGTTGAGTTGACCATCACGACTTGTGGACGGATGACGAGCTTCAGGAAGCCATCTCGGTTGACCATTTCGATACAGTATGCATTGACCAAACTTGACGGTCCTGGCCCCACAGCTGGCACAACGACTGGTTTCGCATCACCTTTCACATTAAGTGAGATCTCCGGAGACCAATTCATCGAACCCGCCTCGTTGTTTAAGTCTTGGAGTGTCGCTATCGAGATCACCAAGTAGGTGCCAACTATTCGACACCCGACGGAGCGTTCAGCGCATGAGCCAATCTTCTCCGAAGCTCGTCGATCTCCAGGAGGGCTGCTAATATTGATGGCCAAAATACTTGGCGTCATATTTGCAATGCTGAGACTGCGTTCGATTCGGATTCGAACCATCGGGTGACGATCCTTGCAAAAGCTCACGACCACTTTGCAGCCCTCGAATACAGTGACATGTTCACTCGAATCTTCGTTGGCGATACAAAACATCAGTGACTCTGCGACGGGTTGAGCACTACAGGAACTTGGATCATACCGCAATTGCACGTCTACTGGCTCACATGGATTGATTATAGCCAAACTTTTCTCAGTCGAAGGAGCGATCTCCAACTCGACAAAGGTGGCCTAGTGAAGAGAAAACATTAGCACGCGTCAACGATGATGAAGGATGATGGAAATGGAGCTGTAACGTTACCTTCTGTGCAAAGGAGATTGCTACTGGAAAGTCCAGCATATTCTCTGCACTGATAGCAGGCCACAATGAAACCTCCATCCAAGTGTACCGCCACGACACCTGAGATTGCATCGGGTCAAAGTCGGTAGGCAGCGAAGTCCTACATTGCGCACGATCAATATGAACCCAAGCGTATTGCGTGGACTCGTCAGGATTTTGCGAAGAGACGGCTACGAAGCTGCACTGTGTTTTCTTCAAGCCATCCTTTCGGCCATCACGACTTTTCACTAGGTCGAACTCATTAGGGACGTTTCCTTGCTTTGGCACACTGCACCACGAGGCTCCGTCGATACTGACTTCGATAGATGCCATGGACTGTAACATAATCCGGGACATGCTGTCATCCGTTTTTGCAGGTCCGGACAGGGTGCATACCGACCCGTCCAATGAAGTGCAATTGGGGTGATGATATACGCTGCTCTGGATACGACTCTCTTGGCACAACTTGTCAAGTCTCCTGCAATGAAACGCGGATGTTTCCTCATCCACCTTGATCAGCACGGGAAAGTTGCAATGATTCTGAACAGTCAACGATGATCGAAGTGTGACGATGGTCTGCAGACCGCTCAGTTCAACACAAACCCACAAGAAGCCGCGAGCGCCCACATATCGACCGGTAACAACATTGTCTTTGATCCTGCACGGATCGCACCAGTGAAGATTGGTATGCGTCTCTGACTCACCATCGGCTTCCTTGTTTTCGCGATTGTGTGTTTCAGCCACCTTCTCGTTCGTGTCGTCCATAGCGAAGCAAATCTGATAAAAAGGGCTGCTTGCCAAGGAGAGCCAGCTATATGCCGCACTGGTGTCTGCAGCCACGAACAAGCACTCAGGGGTTCCTTCTTGTCGATACCAGACACCCATACCTGAGCAATTGACAACCTTTATGCGCATATTGCGCAGCTTGTTGTCCGGATTCACTCGCCTACCCTCGCAAGCTTCGTTCTTCGCCTGCAGGAGTTTTGGAATCGCTGACAGCACAAGCATTGTTGTCTGATTGAGATGGATGGAGACTGGACCGACCCGTGTCGTAAGCTCAACGCCTTTCGAAGAAATCTCAACCGTCGCTTCAATTGCAGTCCGCGGAATGATCGATACAGTAAGTAGCTGAGCCATGTTGTCAAGATACGCTTGCATCGATGAAGACAAGCGTACGTTCAGCGTCCTGGTGTGACGACTACCAGCAGTCGCACACGAGATCACCGTTTCATTCAGCTCGGCGGTTACTATATCATAAGAGTCGTTTTCAGAGCCCACATGGCTGACAGAAAGCGTAGTTCGTGGAAGTGTGACAGTTCCTACAATGCGCTGGTAGGCGTCCAACGTCAGCACAGAATACACCTGCAGTGATGATGCAAGCAAGGCATTTATTTCAAGACGCTTCTGCTTGCTCTGCACAATGCACATATAAACAGTGTGGTCAGTATTGGTACCACTGCGGCTATATCGTTGCACCTACGCACCTCGAGCTCTTGTTCACCCTGTAATGGCGCCCTCCATCTTAGCTCCCAGTTGTCTGAAGGAAGATTGCTATCAAATGAGAACGTCCTCGTTCGAGCACCGAACTCAAGCAGTTTCGACCGATAGCGTGCTTTCTCCACATCATCGTCGAACCACTGGTTCATTAACTCAATGAACGTTTCTGGTTCACTAGCATCGTCCGACCTGTCGGAACCCGTAGTTGCCGATGCGGCTTCCCACGGAACGTAGAACTCGCACACGACAGCATAACATGTTCTCTTGCTGTCCCAGCACCTCAACTGACATAGAATATCGCAAAGTCGGTCTGCATCTCTGTCTTGTCTCTGGTCCCAGCTCCACACAGGCCATCCCTTCAAGACTCCAGTAGGAGGATGAGGCACAGCGTTTGCAACAATCTTATGGACCTTACGTGGTATGTGGTAGCACCAGCGCATCCCCACCCAGCTATGTGTTTTGTTGCCCATGCCCGTGCATAACGACGGCTCGCTACCAAGTTCATGCTCTTCGACGATCCATGGCTCATTGCAGTCCTCGATATAAGCCACCGTATCCGCTAGCTTGATACCAAATTTATTTGGGTCGAGCTGGATCTGAACATTAGCACCTGCAGTCGGGGACGTATCAGTCGAAACTACGCTCGTCGTTTCAATCATAAGACTCTCCATGAACACCAGCTCTCCGGGCGAAGGTCGTCGTCCTACCGCTACTCGCCTTAGCATCTTAAAGTCGTCTGTTGAAGATTCCTGTAAACTTTTCAATGCATGATTTCGAGAGCTAGTAAACCCACTCGCATGACCAGCACTAGTGCAACCAGGTGAGCTGTAAGAATGCTTGTCACATTGCTTGTCGCTCACTGAGGGCGCACGTAACAGAGAATGTATAGCGCCCAACGAGAAAGATGAGATCTTCACGCGCAGAGCGTTCACTTCGGCCTGAACATTCACCCGGACCATATCAGTGTACAGCAAACAGACTCCTATGTCTCCGACAGCAACTCGCTCAAGCATTTGATGCTGTCCTCCGGTAATCCGAACGCTGCAGTCATGTAGCAGGCGTTGAGCCTCGGACACAACACTGATATATTTCGAAAACTCCTGCCAAGTACTGGACGTATGTGTGGGGACAGGGCCGGCGAACGTGTTTTGGAAATGTACCTCCAGACGGGGCAAATTATCGGACGTGTTTACCCCAAGCTTGTCGATATTCACCATCACTTCCAGGGTGGGTACAACAACAAAACGGGTAATCTCATTTACGCTTTGTCCATATGAAAGGATCGACTGCTGGGTCTTGTCATTATTACCAACTCCCGCGCTCGCGAACAGTTGACCGGACCTTATCCAAATGCCAGCCGCCCTCCCTTCCGCATGAGCTCGACCACAGTACGATATTACACTTGGAGCTACAAGCACCTTGATGCTCCATCTTGGACGGAAAGCGAAGGACTTGTTATTCCTAGATAGAACTAGCTGCTCGCTGCTTTTCTCCTCTCGATAGAGCTTTGCAAAGACAAAGGTAGGTTCGGAGTGAGTAAAGCGGGACGACTCTTGCACGAAATGATCCGATACGTGCAGTTGGACGGCTTGCACATCAAGAAAAAGCGTTCTATCCGAGCGGTCTCCAAAATTCCACCTTGCAGCAATCAGTTTCTCGGGATAGTTTTCCACCGACAAATGCCACAAGCTTGGCTCTGCATTTGCACCAAAAACCACTTCTTCTATTGCAACATCATTGTGTGTCGAGCTTGGTGCACCCTCGTTTGCTCGGTAGCCTACTGCCAAATTTTGGATGGACGCACTGCCGGAAAGCGTCGAACTGTCGTGCACCAGGGCGACGGCCCCGATGCGGATATGCGTGGCTCTGTTCGGCTCAAACATTTGTATCTCGATCCCGTCGCACGAGAACGATACTGCTCGTCGGTGCGTCCGCTCGAGTGCTGGAAAATGCTTCTGCAATGTCGAAAGCTGCGCGACTCGTGCCGGTATCACAAGTGATCGACTTAAGACACTTATTCCTTGACTTACCCCCAACACTCGAGCAATCAACGTGTCAAACACTACTTTGTGAAGGTCAAGTCTCCACTTGGTCAATGCAAGAGTGGCCACGGTCTTCACGCCTGCATCCTTGCCATCACCGGTGACAAACGGTTCTTCTTCAAGACTGCATATCAGGTTGAGCGGCGACCAAAAGGTCTCGACATCTGAGAAGCGTGCAACACATCCCGCCATACGGCCGATATGACTCTCAAACGGGCCCGCCTCTGTGTGCGATTTGCCAGCAGGCATTTCGAAGTCGCCAAACTTCAACTCAGCAACATACCCCGTAATCTTTCCGGCTCTGCACCCGATCCGCAGCTGTGACTGGCCAAATCGCTGTGCTTGAACCGTAGCTCGCCTCGGCAGGACTCTCGAGTTGAATGGAGGGTAGCCCAATCCATCCAACGAAATGTCATTTCGTGCGGCAGATGCCACTGACAATGATTCCAGCACAACAAATGCATTCCCAGAAACTGGCCGTACCAACATGATGCCATCCATGAGACGTTCGCTTGGAAGGAATAAGCGAATACAACCGAGCCAAACAGACACTTCCACATTCGCCAACGATATGCGAGGAAGAGCATCAGATACAGACGGAACTCTTGTCCCAGAATCATCAACTTCGCCCATACTAGTTCTGCTGGCCAGATCGGGTAAGCTGGCCAACTTATCGCCCACGTCCATTAGTGTAGCGAGACAGTATAGACTTGATGTTGTCACGGCAGCGTCCACACTTTCCATGGAGCCCGCAAACACGTAGCGAGGGAGACCAGCCTCACTGTAATTGCGATAGAATCCCGAAAGCAACGGAAATGGGTGAGCCATCGATGCAGAGTCTTTCCAAGATAGAATTAGCGGGATTTCTGCAACAATGCTCTTCCTTTGAGCCTCTCTTTGCAGCTGCTCGACACATACTTCATGGAACGATTTGGCCAAGCAGCTTGTCAAATGCCACGATAGCATTGCAGGTGGTAGCGATTGCTGGTCTGCTATACTAGAATCTGATACACTCAAGCTCTCGGATAGGCATTGTAAATCCGACAGATCGAGACACACCAGAATGCCCAGGAATGCAGGCTCGTGCAAGCGCGAGAATTCACCGAACGCAGAGTGAACACCACGCCTTGCATTCTGAAGTTTCTCCAAAACTTGGACATCGCCCACAGTCGCCTGGATATCTGTAAAGCACCCGCATTCTACTGCTGGGCGGACATCGTTCCGAATGGGATGATAGTTGCCGACACGTGCGGCTATAGCAAGGTTTACTATCTTGCCATCCACAACCACCCGGGTCGCTTGGTCTCGGCGAGCTGATTGGCGACTGATATCAGCCGTGCATGAAACACTGACATGGTCCAGCTGAGCCCCTAACCTCCAATGCCACTTAATGTATGCAGCTTCTTTGCTGCCGATATCAGGTTCATCGCGCTTTCGCAGCTCTGGGACTTGATGACGCAGCAAATTTCTTGAATGCGCTTTTACCTCACGGGTAGGATATTTCAGGAGATACAAAAGCTACACGATGATCACACAACGTCTCATTAGTACACAGGCAAAGACAACAGGAAGAGTTGAAGAGTCGTTGGTTCCCGTTGTGCCAACAATTAGACTTCGATACAATAGCGTACCTTTAGTCGAGACAGTGACGCCTGAATACTCGATACGCAGAGCGTCATATCGACTGCGCACGCGAGACGGCCGTCGGCCAAACTGCGCGAAATGGCCGTAGACACATGAATGCCTTGAATGACCAGCACCTTTGAATCTTCCATGTGTTTGAGAACGCCACTTTCAGATGCGCTTAGTATAATGTCTTTCATCGTGCATTCGATTGCAAGGGCATTTCCGGTCTTTACCTGAGCCAACTGTCCAGCGTCCATCTCCACCGACGATACCGACAGCAACGGCAGCTTCAATCGGAGCGCTTCGTTCACACGTATATCTCCACCGGCAGCTTTCAGATCAATTTTAAAACTCCAATCAGCTAGAGCACTTTGTACAACATCTTCCTTCACCGCATCATGCGCACTGTTTTGCCCTCGAGTGTCTGACTCTTGTTGAGGCGGCAAACTCGCCTTCACTCTTTGCACAAGATCCAACGCAGCATCTACGATTTGTAAGACACCTTGCACGTCCGCAAACATTCGCGCAAGCTGTGCATTCGTCGAAAGATGGCAAGACAAACACGTGGTTGCAAGCGGTCCAAGATTCAACGAAAAAAGAGCGAGCGGGCCACAAAGCGGTAGATCATTTAGTGCACCCGACGAATTTTCTTGCATAACTTCGAGCTTGAACAGTGGAGTAGTCAACTCTGCTTTACTCACTGTCATCGGGGCAATACCGCCTTGCAGTACGACTTCGTTCGTGCGCCCTGTTCTTGTCAGATTGGCGCTGATTGATGCAACCTCAGCGCTCAGCTGAGCCGCCACAAGCCTGGGTCGATTCGAAACTGCCCCAGAAAACTCCATCCTGCACACTTCAATCTGAAAAGCGGTTTGTAGCATCTTTGGCGTCATAATCGGTGCTTCCCACGTGATAGAGTGTCCAAAGTGGAGTGATATGCCGTTTACCATCGATGCAACATCCTGTGCGGCAGACGTACTGAAACCAACCTTCAATTTGTTCAGATTTCCGCATAAACAGTCATTGTCATCCCCATCAGCAGAGCTGTTCGTGACTGAACAATCCAACCCCAGCGCTTCTGCTAGCGTCATCGGCGTGAGCTGACTCGATGGTCGTTTCAAATGTATGGACAACGTGCCAAGATGTAGATGACGCTCATTGCGACCCGGGTGACTAGTTTCCGACCAGGCAAAGTCGCGCGCGGTCACAATCAGATTGTCACGAGAAGTAGCGTCCAGCTCACCCTGCTTCTGTTCTGTAGATTGATCTGGCAGGCATATACAAACACTGCTGACCGTGATCAACTTAACGTCCTTTTCAAGGACCGACTCAATACTGCGTGCTGCATGAGGTGTGACCGGTTTCGCGGATTCCGGATCTGCTGTCGTTGTCTTGGCTATATCAGCAGCTTCATTCCCGCGCAGAATGATGGACAATGCTTCCGCTATCTCCAAACACTTTACGGGTTCCAACATAGCATGTACAGCACCGATCGATACGTCCAACACCCTGCATGTTGCTTTCTCCTTGGTACGACCGCTGACTGGCGATCTCTTATGATCCGTGGAGGTTGACGTCGACGATAGGTGCAAGCGTAGTGCCGAGTGAACACTCCGGTGTTGAGTATTGGTGCAGTCGGAAGACGAGTAGAGTGAAGATGCTGAACATGTGTGCAGCGTATAACGAGCAAACAGTGAGATCAATTGGGGCTGGAGTAGCTGGGCCAGATTGTCCAGGGCTCCAACGTCGGGATTACGGTAGATGCGATACTCCTCCACGATCGAGACGAGAGAGCGGGCCAGTCCTTCCGAAATGGAAATAGGAGAGCCGTGAGAAGCCCAAGCGCTGAATACGGTGTTTGATAACATTCCCTCATCGAGAATCCGCTCCTTTATTCCAATACTCCTTATTGCGTCTTGACAAATTCGAGACAAAGTGGCTATCGGGACACAATGAATACTCTCACCATCCCATGTTGTAGAACACTCGCACGGGAGGTCCAAACGGCCATCCAAGTGTCCTTTGGGTTCCAACGTCTTCCATGCAGGAACGCCAGCGTCCAAACTCACTTTGACGATTTCAACGCTCCGCGCTTCACGTCGATTTCGTCGCGTTGCTTCCTCACGGAAAAACGAATTGGTGAAGTACGGATGACAGACGTTGTCAGAGGAGTGAACTAGATCACTTGAACCGCATGTGAGCAAGACCTGTCCTTTTCTGCATTGCAAGTCTTCTCGATTTTCACTGAATGTGGCTGATGTCAGCTCGACCTTATCAATCTCGAGCACCAGATCCATTCCGTCTTGTTCTTCTCTGCATGGTAGTAGCACTTCAAGAGCCACGTAGCTCAGAGACATGCTCAATATGGGCATAGCCGGTCGGGCTACCTTTCTTCTTGTCTTTTGTGCTATAACCCTCACCATGCCAAGGTTTGCAACTGGAACGAGCTCTTCGCCGCTTTCGGCGGCCGCAAAGTCTTGATGCTCATTTTCGTGACTCATGCTATCATGCTTCCGCAACATCATCGATACAGAGCTGATGCACAGTCGTACACAAAAGATCTTAGTAATCGGTCCATTGGCGACCGACGGATTCCCATTGCCATGGCTGCTTGGTGGCTGCACCTTGAGCAAGGCCCTTCTTGTCTCAGCAAGAAGCTCAGAAACTAGCTCATCCTCTTCTTTTCCATCTTCAGCTGTACCCAGAGCGTTCATCGCCCAGCCGAACCAAGACTCTTGCTCTTTAGCCAGGTTGTGCACTTTCTTACCTCTACTTGCAACTCCAGCGGAGACCACAGGAACGTGAGGCACGGAAGGGCGCCTTGCTTTGTTGCTACCACTTCGCACGTATTCTGGACTATGTCGTTGAGTAGGTAGTTTGTGATCCTGGTCCATCTTAGCGCTTGCACTCTTGACAAGCTGATTCAGCATCTCTAGTTGTCTGTCGCTCACGGAGAAGGACAATTGACCAATGAAAACATCCAGCTCGTACATGGGCGTCGCGCATGAGCGGCGATGAGAGTACAAGTAGAACGGGTCACATAGCACAGACGGTCTGTGTGCACACAGTTCGCCTACGTCCAGCATGCTGCTTCCGGTATCATCATGACTCGCTGTATGTCGTTGTTGGTGCACAGCGGGCCTTGAGAAACTAGGACTGCCGCTGCGGTCATTCTGACCGTCGCTCAGGGTGCTAGGGAAGAGCTGCAGCTTGGCTCGGACCGACGCTGACGTCCGACTCAGCACCGGCACTTCGTACCCAATCACGTTCCGCCGCACCGGGTCCTGCGTCGGGCCGCACTCGGCACTCATATACCGATCCAGAAAGATCGTCACGTCTTTTGCGTCGATGCTTTTACAAATCACACGTTGCTCTCTCTTGAGATGGTCAAAGCTACGTGTCCACCCGCTGCTTGCACTTGCAGAATAAAAGTCCAATGTCTGTTGCCCACAGAGAACGAAAGCACACACAACGCGTTAGCTCTGCTGCCAGCGGTTTGTTCGGAGCACACACGCATGTGAATGCACGCACGTACTCCCAGCGCAATCGAGAACACAATGTCGTCATGCTCGTACTTAAGCACGAGGTTGTTCACTTGGACGCTGATATTGGACAAAATCGTCTGCAGCGTGTCATGAATCCACCCGGACTTCGGATGCTCCATCTTGGACCGTTCTTCCTCTCCTCTCTCCTCCTCTTGCTCGTCCGTTGCCTCGTCTGCAGTCATCACCGTCGTACCTCTTGCTGCTCGCTGCTCTCTGTGTTCGTTCTTGGCCGTCAGAATGAGCTCAATCGTGTAGAGCTTCACCTCAATGGGCTGAGACAGCAGCTGCGTCCACGGGATGTGGATCCGCAGCTCTCGGATGAACCCACGCGAGAAGTCAAAGCTCGAGGGGATGTCGAGACTCTCGCGCAGCACGTGGCGCTTGATTTTGAGGTCGTTGAGCACGAGATCGCCGCCGAAAAGCCCCAGTCGCTCGAGCTGAATGTCTTCAATGTACTTGCTCAAGTAGAACTGGAGGCTCTGCGCGATGTAGCCACGCAGAGGCGACAGCAGGTCCAGCATCTTGACGCGGACGCGAGGAGTGCGAGCGCTTGTCGCGCGTCAATGGATTCGCTCTGATTGGCCAATCAGAGCAAGCGAGTGGACGAGTCCGTCAGTCGGTATGAGAGTTTGCTCGCGCGACAAACTCGTTTCTAAGCTGCAGCAAAAGGCGTTTCTATCGGAGCAATAGCGCAGGCACGATACAGCAGGAACACATCCTCTCTATTGCAGTTGGCCCCATTCGAACAGGACACTATCGTGCCAGAGGCTCTTGCTGGACATTCGCCTACAAGCAAATCGGTCGATACTCGGCAAACAAAACGCGATCAGGTCGGCCTACTCATGGACCGTCTTTAGTCGAGCAGTGAGATTGCGAAATGCGTTTACACGGAAAGCCAAGCAGCACTACGTAAGCAAGCCCTTTGTCGGCTCGGTAGCATCGCGTCAGCTGCGTATACGCGTGATAGAAAGACGCTGCATTGTAGAAAGGAGCGGACGTCTTCCAACCTCAATAGGTTCAGGACGGACTGGTGCAAAACGATCGAAGCCGTCAAGTCAGCAGCACTGTTATCTCGGAAAGTACATTGCCATTGTTGCGGATCACGTTGAGACCGTGCGGGATCCTGTTACAAGCGCCTGTGAGCTGAGGGACAGCGAAATGACAAAATGTGCTTCCAACGTCTGTTGATCACAGAGTGTCACTATGGGCAGGGGTTTATAACTGACACTAGGACCAGGTCCGCTAGAAATAGTCCGCGCTCCCATCGATCGTGCCACAGATTATACGTACCCTGTGATGCAGGTGGCAGATGGGACGCAAGGTAATGTGCAAAAGACGACGGGTCTGCTGTGTCAGCATCGTGTCCGGAGTCAAAAGGGCATTGGCAGAGCTGCCGAATCCCTCGATCGACGTCACTGACACCAAAGAGTAAACGACGTCGTCCGAAGAGGCTCTTGCACGTAGCTTTCGGACTAGACGTACATTGTTTACGAAGTGCGACCCACTAGACCCACTATTGCGGTCGATGGTAGCAATCATGGAGGACTCAGGTTGCAGTGAGTATGCTGTGGACCAAAGTAGCACTCATGGACGGCTTCCCGCATCCCTGTTGACAAGCGAAGGAGTAGCACTACTAAGGAGGTGTCGTCATGCATGACGTTTTGTTTGTCCGAAGTAATTGAACACACGAAAAGTAAGGAGTTGAGGATCACCCTCTTCATTCAGCATCACAGGGTGCTCCCTGACATTCTCTGGCTCATCAATCAGTACGACATCGTCGGATCGTTCCCATCACCCTTCTTTTCACTGCGTCAGCAGCACCAACGAGCTGCTTCAACACATTACAACTATGAGAGGATAATGATACGTATCCCACCACTTGACAATCACGACAACACTGTGGCTGTTACACTTTGCAACTCACGACGCACATCCCATATCAAGCTGCCAATCCATCCGAAATGGGAACGTAAGCAGCTAACTCGAGTTAAGTTGCTAGACTGGTTTACTTACGTCAGAAGGCGAGCTCCACAGAGCTTGCATCTCTATCCATGTATGGCAACGCGGCGTTTCCGTTGGACTTTTCACAAGTGACTGGACTTACGCGCCTTTTGCTAGCGTCACTGTCTTCTTCCATTTCTCACCGATGAGGATCCCACACATACTGGAACTGCGCCAAGCCGTCCAAGGCGATAGCGATACTTGCACATAGGTGCAAGCTCTGATCGACGAAAGCCGGTACAAGAGTGTGGCCCTTGACAAAAAGCACGCAAACTCAAAGTCACATCCTTATTCGTTATCGCATGTCGGTAAAGTTGATCGATGAAATGAAAAGTGGCATTCGATTAAAAGCTGTTTTCTCAAATGTGGCAACCTGGTGCCTCGCTTTTCACAGCTTTTGGTCCAATGTGGCACGACGACTGCAGCAGCGAGAATACTTCACCCGACCGACCGATATTTAGTCCACCTTATGCTCGTAAAATAGGGTCGAGCGCACTATTGACGTGTCTGGATAGCGTTGGCCAAAACAAGATACCGTACTTGCTGAAGCTACAATCCGCGCCTGTTGTCGCCTACCCGCCATCGCACTTCATTCATCATAGTCGCCACGCCAGTCCTTACTTCGGACAAGTCTTCCGAGACAATCGAAACAATTATCAGACAATAACGTCAATCACGCGCTTCGGTCGTCATAGTTCCAGTTCGCGTAGCAGTTGCAAACGAACCTCTCCCTCCACTTGTACGGCCATGCTCCTGCTGACGCAAAAAAGCGGCCCATGTGGCTGCACGACTAGCTAATGAACGCCTTGGCTAGCGATTTGACAGCGCACGGACCAGCCGAGGTCATGATCGGCTCGCCCTTGTATGTCGCCACGCCCTTGTCGTCGGTGAGAAAGTCTGGCGAGACCTTCTCCAGTACCTTCTGCTTCTTGATCTGCGCAGCCGATAGCGGTTCTCCGCTCTCCGACGCTACCGTCACTCGCTCACCCACCTTAGCGGCAGCTGGAGGTTCCACGAACTGCACATTCGCATGGGCCTCATCGCTCGCGCACAGCACCATACCGTGCGACTTGAATCCGCCCAGTTTCGCTGGTTTCAGATTCAGCAGCACCAGCACTTTGCGGTTCTGCATCTCTTCCAGTGAGTAGAACGCCTGCAGGCCAGAAGCAATCTGCTTGGGCTCCTCTTCGCCAATGTCAATCTCCTCGCAATACAGCTTCTCCGACTCCGGGTGCTTCCATACCTTGGAGATCACACCGACGCGGATGTCCAGCGAGGCGAACAGCGGCGTGGCGGCTTTCGCAGGCTTGACGGGCGCGGGCTTGGCTTTAGCAGCAGCAGTTTCGCTCTGCTTCAGCTTCTCCTCCGCGGTCAAGATCTTGGCAAACAAGATGTCGCCGACCGACACCTCAGTGCCAGGTGTCAGGTTGTCGTAGTCAGGGGACAGTGCAGTCAGCGTAGTGGGCACCGTGTTCAGCTTGTTGAAGATCGTTTCAGTCGTCTTCGGGATAATGGGACTCAAGTAATGGGCCAGCACGTAAATGGCCTCGAGACACGTGCGCACAACAACAAGGCGCGGCTCGTTCCCCTTCATATGCCACGGCTCCTTCTCAGTCAAGTACTTGTTTGTATCCTTCAGCGCGTTGACGATCGCTAGACAGGCGTTCTGCAGCGAAAACTCCTTGTATGAATCCTCCGAGTATTTCAGCAGCTCGTAGACGTCGAACAGCCTGTCCGCCTTGACATCGGGCACAACGCCGTTCGAGTACTTCTTACAGATATTGACAGTACGGTGAACCAGGTTGCCCAACGTGTCAGCAAGTTCCGAGTTGTGGATGTTGATGAGATCGTCTTCGGAGAAAGGCATGTCCTGGCCGAACTTTGCCGAGCGCACGATAAAGTAGCGGAACGACTCTAGTCCGTACTTGTTGATCATCTCATACGGGTCGATGACATTGCCAATGCTCTTGCTCATCTTCGAGCCGTCCTTAGCATTTACGAATCCGTGTGCGAACACCCGCTTCGGCAACGGGATATCCGTGCTCATCAGAATACATGGCCAGATGACGCAGTGAAACCACGTAATGTCCTTGCCAATGATGTGCACGTTCGCGGGCCAATAGCGAGCATCAGGCCCATCCGGGTAGCTTATGGCCGACAGGTAGTTCGCCAGTGCATCAAACCACACGTAGAGAACGTGCTTGGGATCGTTCAGCAGTGGAATGCCGTGTGTGAACGTATTGCGCGAGGCTGACAAGTCCTGTAGCGGTTCCTTGAGGCGACGCAGCAGCTCCTGACGTCGAACTTCAGGCTGCAGGAACTCGGGATGCTCGGTAATGTGCGCAACAAGTCGGTCTTGGTACTTCGACATTCTGAAAAAGTACGACTCTTCCTGCATCTTCTTGAAAGACGTGCCCGTTGTCGGATCCTTATAGTCGGTCAGCTGGGCCTCCGTCTCCGTGACAAACGTCTCCTCACGCACATTGTACCATCCCTCGTAATTGTCAAGGTACACGTCCCCTTTCTCCAGTGCACGATGGAAGAGCCACTGTGCAAACTCCTTGTGCTTGTCGCTCGTCGTGCGAACGAAATTGTCATTGCTCATGTCCAGATCTTTCGTGAGCTGCTGGAAAATCGTCGCGTACTTGTCCACGAGCTCCTGCGGCGTGACACCCGCCGCTTCCGCTGTTTGCGCAATCTTCTGGCCGTGCTCGTCCGTGCCCGTGAGGAAGTACACATCCCGTCCAAACACGCGGTGGTAGCGAGAAATGACGTCCGAACACACGTTCTCGTAGGCGTGACCCATGTGCGGCAAGCCATTCGTGTAGTGGATGGCCGTCGTGAGGTAGAACGTCTCCCCTGCGGTCTTGACGGCCGCTGTCTTCTCCTGCAGCACCTTCATGCGCACGTCCTGTTGCCCCTGCGCTACCTCGAGCTTCTCGACACGCGCCGCGAGGTCGGCCGTCATCTCGTCTCGCGCTTTCGACTGGTTCGTGTGACGTGCAGCCGCGAGGGGAGCGCTCATTGGCTAAAAAGGAGCGACCGACTGGCCAATGCTTGTCGCGCGTGAGCTCTCGTGATTGGTCGATTTTGTATGTCAAGTTGTCGTCGCTGCTGCCTCAGTCGACGCGTGCAGCTGTGTCGAGGGGGACCTGGTTGCGATCCGAATGTCCGAATATCCGCATGGTACGTTTGACTATGCTGCGTGCTTTCACCGCAGTTATTCAAAGTGAGGTCCTGTCAAAGTATATCCCCTTTCGCATCCGATACTCCTCGTCCCACTGCCGTACACGATAACAAATAACATGGTGCTGCACGAGAGCAGCTCGAGCTCGCTCTCGAGCGTCGCTATGAACAGGCGCAGCCTCCGCCACAGCAGCAGCGGCGGCGGTCGCAACCGGTACCGCAACAGTAAGAGTATTCACGACACCGGCAATGGCAACAACGGCCACAGCCACAGCCACAGCAACAACAGCCACAGCAGCAGCCGTAGCAATTTCCAGGTCGACGACCCGAACTCTTTTGGCTCCATGTTGGACCAGTTGCACGCCGAGCAGAAAGGAACGATCGAAGCACTGACTTGCCAAGTGGACTTCTACCGTCAGCTGGAAGAGCGTGCGCGTCAAGAGCTCGTCACGCTGCGGGACTGTCTGCCGCTGGCCAACGACGCCGAGGGCGCTGCCGCATCGGTCGCGAAATTAGCCAGTGAGAACCGCGTGCTGGGCGAAGAGCTGGACGCGCTACGCGCCGAGAAGAGCAGCAGCGACCGGGACTTGGCCCGTCTCGAGCGGCAGAAAAAGGAGCTCGAGCGGCAGCTGCGAGACGCGAAGCACACGCTCGTGGGGTTCTCGCAAGCGATTGAACAGCTGGAAATCAAGATGCAGCGCAAAGAAGCTGAAGTGCAGATGCGGTGTCTGGAGCTTGAGCACGAGGTAGACGACTTGAAGCGCGAGTGTGGGCAGCTGCGACAAGACAAGACAGCGATGCGGCAGCAGCTGGAGAACCTCCAGACAGCGAGCGACGAGAACTCGAGGCTGCGCACAGAGCTGCAAATGCTGTTGCAGCAAAGTGCAGACCGCCATTGGAATCCACACATTGGCAGCAGCTCACGCTTTTCATCCGAGATCAACAGCATTCGGGATAAATTTAGTAGCTTGGACGATGATAAGCGCAGACTCGAAGCTGAGATCCAGGAGATGCAGCGGAAGCTGGATGCACGTGCTGTTGAAGTGTCAGCGGCACAACTAGAAGCTGAACGAAAGAATAGTGAAGTGAAGGAGATGCAGCTGAAACTAGACAACGCGAATAGTGTGTTGACGCTTCGAGAACAGCTGCTTGCATCGGACGATAGCACGAAGAAGGAGATTGAAACACAACGACAGGAGCTGATGACACTAGTGTCGACGCTGCAGTGTGAGAAAAGCGACCTGCAACGTGAGATCGCAAGCTTGCACCGAGACCAAGAAATCGCTAAGGCTGAATTGCACACTGCCAAATCACGGCTGGCCACGAAAGACCACACTGTAGTTGTATCGACGCTGCGCAGTGAAGTTGCTTCGCTGAAAGAGCGGCTGCGCAATGAGTTCATGCACGAGAAGGACAGTTTGAAATCCGATGCACAGTCTCTGACGCAGGAGATCAGGCTGTTGCGAGGGCGCTTGGCGGAGAAAGACCGTGCTGCTCGCAGTCTGCAAGACGAAATCTTTCGAAAGGATGAAAAGCAAAAGCAGACGGAATACGATATACGGCAGTTGCGAGAGCAGATCACTCGACTGGAAGGTGAGCTTGGTCAATCCCGAACCAAGTACGAGCAACTTCAGCAATGCCGGACAGCGTTAGCAGAGCAGCTTGATGTCGGATTCAAGGAGTTGTTGAACGACGAAGATAGTGCAGCGTCGGCGCGCGAAGAGGTCGAGAAGCTGCGCAGCGACCTGAGTCGAACGAAAAAAGATTGCCACGCTCTAGAAACTGAACGACAAATGCTGACGGAGGAGCTCAAACGCGCTGATCGCACCAACCAGGAGGCAATGACGCACCAAAAGGAGAAGATTGACGACTTGTACCGTCAACTGATCGAGAAAGAAGCAATGATTACGTCGTTGGAGAGCGCTCGGCGTCAAGTAGCGTTGCTACAACAAGAGAAGGAGTCGTGGGAGGGTGATGTGACTGATGTTCGCTTGCGCTGTGAAAGTCGAGTGGAAACGGAAGTGCGAAAAGCCGATGGTCTTCGCTCTCGGATCGAGCAGCTGGAAAAGGACAAACTGTCTTTGAGACAGGAAATCGATACGCTTGAAGACAAGTGCGCGAATTGGAAAGAACGAGCGCATGTAGCCGAGCGGTCTATTCGCCAGAAAGACGAAGAACTCGAAGGGCTCAAGCAGGACCTCTCGCGCCTCGAGAATGAAATCATTGACGCCACTACGCGCGTCGACAAAGGAAAAGAGGAGATTACAACTCGCGAGCGGAAGCTGCTGAAGGAGCGAAAAAAGATGGAGCGCGAGATGGGTTTGCTCGTGGACCGCATCGAGAGTGCTAACCAGCGGAATTTCGACCTAGGTGAGAAGGTGATTGCGCTTGCGCAGCAGTCCAAGGTCGACCAAACGGATTTGGTGGCATTGAGTTCCCAGGTGAAGAGTTACAGGAAACAAGTCAAGGGGTTGGAAACACAGCTTGGACAGATTCAGCGTCGCAACGGCATGGAATCCGACACCATTGACGACTTTCAGCGGAAGTTGAGTGATCTGATGTGCTTGAAGGACAGCTACCAAGTCGAGATCAGCAATCTTCGGCAGAAGCTGAGCCACGTGCAAAAGGACAGCAGTACGGCTGCGCAACAGCGTGACGAGGCTGTAGAGCGAGTACGTCTTCTGATGCAGTGCCAGGATGATAGGAAGGCGACAGCAGAGGATCACACGACGGAGCTGATTGAGGAGATCGAGGGGTTGCAGCACCAGATGGATAGTGAGCGCAAGCGCTGTGCTGTGCTGCTGGCCAACGAGAAGACATTGTTGCGCGATCTCCAAGAGCGGAACACCGTCATTGCAAAGCTGCAGCGCACCGTCTCAGCGCTTCAGTATCAAGCTCGGGACAAGTTTGACAGCGATCAATCCAGCAGCTCGGGCTCCAGTCGCAGGCGGCGCTCTCGAGGCAGCAGCGGCGCTGGCACCCCGGTAGCCAGTAGCAACGAGTCTACGGTCCCTACGACGAATTCGCTGTCCCCGGATGTTTACCACCACGGCCATTCCCAGCAACAACAACAGCAGCAACAACAACAACAACAACCCAAGCAACAACAACCCAAGCAACCTCAGCACCAGCTTCTACCGAGCTTCGCAGCAAGCAGCGAGCTGAACACGACGCCGGAAAAAGAGATGGACCGTCTATTGAGCAACCTCGAGCGCATCTCGTGCTTTTCAGCACAGGGGCAGCACCAGTCGCTTCGGTGACTCGTGTGTGTGTGTGTGTGTTCCATAGTGCTAGTTAGGGTGCGTCAGCTGAAGCGATCAAAGTGGGTGTGTACATACAATGCAAAAGGCACTACTGGTCGTGGTCGGCAACGAGCAACTGGATCGAAAGAGGCGACACAATCTGAAGTTGGTGCGCGTCGTCGTCGTCGTCGTCGTCTGCCATTCGATAGGTATAAAGTGGACGACCGTCGCGTTGTTGTCGCGATCGCTGCACAACGTATCGACCGCTTGTCGTCGACAATCGCACGCGCACAGACGTGGGGTCGTAGCTCGAAACGTCCAGCACGGGGTCGCCCGTATCATCAGCTTCGACCTGCAGCTCAGCAAAAGACAGAGAGTAGTAGCGACCGCCACGATGGACTGACCCCAGTGTTCAGTCCCCCCAGGCGCAGACACAACTGCGCTTTTGTCTGTCGCGAAAAGTGATGCCATGGCCACGTGCGCACGTCTGGTAGAGAGAAACCCGAGCGAACGCACGAGCAAACCATCGACCGAACGCACGAACGTGTGTCGAGATGTTGCGATCGAGCTGGTCGTACACTTTTGTGTAGCGTTGGTGTGTCGCCCCACCGTCCGTCCCTTCGCGCGCACTCCCACTCGGTCACAAGTGGATTTGACGTCGAGCGAGCGAGTGATCGAGTGATCGAGCGGTCGATTGTTCACACAGTTCGTGCGCAGCCGTTTCTCGCGCACGTTCCTACCGTCGAGCGCTCGAGAGAAGAGAGAGAAGAGCATGAGCGACAATGGCCACGCGGGCGACGCGCCGGACTGGATGCAGGAGCAGGCGGCCGAGTACGCCGACTTGGTCGGGAGCTTTGTCGAGTCGGTGGTGGACTCGGACACGGACGAAGTGCTCGAGTATCAGCTGATCTGGGAAGGCGGCGACTTGGGCGTCGCGCTCACGACCATTGAAGGCGGCGAAGGCGGCGTCGCCGTGAGTCGCGTGACGGGGAAGGGCTTTCCCTTTGGTATCAAGAACGTCGGGCCAGGCGATCTTCTGTTGTCGATCAATACAAAAGACACGACAAAGGTCAATCTGGACGACGTTGTTGCGTACCTGCAGATCTGCGACTTGCCAGCGACGCTGCGGTTCAAGAAGCTCTCCCCCGTGGAGACCAATGCACCGGTTTCGGTGCCCAGGAAGAGCACGTACGTGATCACGAGTGGCAGTGCACCGGATTCGACTGGACCCGTGGACTTGACAGCGTCGCATTCGCACGCTCGTGGCTCCGACAAGTACGCACCGCCACCTGTTCCCCACGAGACGTCGTCGTCGTCGTCGTTCTCTCCAGACCAGCAGCAGCAGAGCACTGGGGGTTTGTCTTCGGAGAAGATGTCAGTGTCGCAACTCGAGTCTAATCCAACAGCTACTCGGGAATCAGGTGCCATTGACGATGAACTGGCGTACGACGAGAACGAACAGCGCCCGTACTCGGGTTGGAAACTGGACTCGGCGATGCCAGGTGTGAAGTCGCACGAGCCGTTTCCACCTCGCCAAGAGGCTTCGTTCGAAGAGGAGCTTTGCGAAGTAGACGGCTTGGTCCTCACGTCGGGTGAAAACGACCTCGGATGTGACGAGTCAGAGGATGAGTCCGTGCGGGCATCAGGCGAGTCGCATGACTCGTATCGGGACGGGAGCTTCGATGTCGATGCTAGTCATGGGGCTTGGGACGTTGACGGGGAGGAGAAAGAGGATACTCTACTTGCAGCACAAAAGGGTAAGCAAACCAATGAACCGGCGCTCCAACGCGACAAGAGCGACTCGACGGCTGCGATGCTTGGGCACTTCTCCGTTGAAACAAGGGGAGATGCTGTGCCGATCCTCCCCGATGCAGAAGAGGCTTCGGGCATCGCCGCGGTGGATAACGTGAGTGATTTCTCGTCCGCGGGCCGCCACGCACCACCTCCTCGCGCAAGCGGTCGCGTGGATTCGTCAGACAGCTTGTCTAGTTCCATGGCGTCTTCGATGAATTCGTCGATGAACTCATCGAGGAGCAACACTGAGGCCCCGCGGCCTTCGGTGCGCGTGACGATGGATAGTACGGCCCCGCTAATGAAGAGCCACCCAATTGGCACACTACATGAAATGTGTGCGAAGGGTGACCTCCGCGGCGTAGTACAGCACTTGCGTGTGGAAGGGCCAGAGGCGCTGCTGAATCGGGAGCCAAACCACGGCCAGACGGGATTGCATCTTGCGGTGAAGAGCGGTAAGGTGCCGCTGGTCAAGGTGATTCTGGAACAGTACAAGCCGCTCGAAGACATTGTCAACGTCGAGGACGACAAGGGCAACACAGCGCTACACTTTGCAGCTACAAAGACACCAGCCATGGTGCACCTGCTCTTGGAGAGTGGCGCGAGCGCTAACGTGAAAAACAGCCGCAAGTTCACGCCACTGATCATCTCGGTGATCACGTCAAAGGATGACAGTATCATCATACCTCGCATGCTCCTCAAGTTCGGCGCTAATCCGAATGACATGCACGACAGCCATACCGTTATCCACACTGCCATCAGTACTGGACGCTTGCACATTGCTGGTGCGCTCGTGCGGGCAGGAGCCAAAATGGACGTGGAGGACGCTGAGGGGAAGAGCGTGTTTGAGAAGCTGCCGCGCAAAGACGTTCGGTACTTGATATCTCACATTTACTTTCCACCGACGCACATTACGAAGAAGGAGCGCTCCGAGTGCATGTTGTGCCATCAGAAGTTCAAGTTTAGCCACCGCGAGCACAACTGCACGCACTGCGGCCGTCTTTGCTGCGCGGAATGTTCGGCACTGCAAGTCGAGATGTACAGGTTCCCGATGGGCTTCCCCGGTCGAACGCGTCGTGGCGCAGCGAACCGCGAGCAGAAGCGCGTGTGCAAGACGTGCTACAACGTGTTCAAGGAGCGCAACGAGGAGCCGGAGAAGAGCGAGATGTCGAGGTTCATCAACCGCGTCATAAACATCGAGTGGGACGAGGTGAATCCGGAAAAGTTGCAGAAAGAACAGGAGGCAGGGCGTCGCGGGTAAAGTGTGGCGTAGGAATTGTAAATCGGAGCAGCAGCACCAGCAGACCACAACGAGGAGAAAAGTTTGCCTCGAGCAGGAAGCGGTCGATAGAGCACGAGGCACCGCAGCAGCAGCATGAACATCAACGGATGCGGGTTTTGTGGTACATGCGTAGGTGCTGGCTATAGAAGCTGGTTCATCGCACGTCAAGAAGGAAAATTTGATTCCACAAGTGCTTTGTCGGTTGACTTTTGCTTACAAAGGGAGCATATATGCTGCCGTGAACCGGCAAACTGGCTGAGCTGAGGTACTACTCAGACACACTGTTCAAAGCGCCACGAGATGAAGACCAGTCTTGTCAGCCTTGACCAAGAGAAGACTAAGCATGATGTGCAAAGCAAAGTCTACATGCTACGTCTCATGTGGCAGACTGGCTGACTAGCCGGGTAGGTCAAGATCAGGTTCATAGGTCCTAACTTCTATGCACTTATTCGATCGAGATGCAGGAATTTCGATATGCTACTTCCATGGACGTTACCATGTCAGTGCAACGGATAGTAGTCGTAGCTGCGAGTGAGGATGCGATTGCCTGCGCTCCGATACAAAACGTCTGCGTTAAGTAAAACTTCTCCGGGTAGAAGGACTGCCCGATACAAAGCGTCTGCGTTCCACCGTTCCCCCTGGGACCGAGTTGCAGGCAATTGCTCATCTTCATTTACGGAAGCCGCTACATGAGTGCTTCCTATTTTTTAAGATAAATTCTAGCAGTCGCGCATGAGCAAACGCATTCCTTGATACACATACACCCTTTTACCTTCATTCACACCCTTTCATCACAGCATATTCGTATCCCTGGTGCTTCTATTCACACCCGTTTTGCAAACACTCAAGTCTGGGAGTGCTACATTCTGTCACGCATGCACGCACTCTATTGATCGTGCAAGCGAACACAACGTAAGGCACACGCCAACACCACACAACAAACATCGGTAAGATACAAGTGCAAGTTCGAAGGCACACAAAAGGAAGAAATGTCTTGCTGCATCCAGACGCCTTGTAGAAGTACACCGGCCACTGCCACGTTCTGACTGTGGCGTTCCTAAACTGTGGCACTTGCTGCCACTAATCGATGCCTGCCGAATCTTAGCACACAGGATGATGTTGTCGCTGATCGTCGAAACTTACGCCGGCAGTCACACCGAATGCATCGGGTTCGAACACGCTTCCAATTGTCTTCTAGTCACCCTGACATACCAGCATCCCAGCGCAAGGACAAATGATCGGTACCCACACTGTATTGGCGTCGATACTGCTTACCACGAAGGTATCAAAGAAGACAGGATAATCGACAACAGCCAAGACACCGAGAACGATTTCGCTAGTTTGTGTGCAACAAGGTAAGTCCATGACGTGACCTCGACTTGAGCAAATATCATACGATCATTTTCGTTGCAAAGACATTCAGCAACTTTTCCTTCGAAGGTAATGTTCAGCGGCAGTTGACAACACTGCGCGTTGTGTGACGTAAGCCACGACATCAGCCGATATATGATCTATCAAGACGAGATGTGCGCAATGAGTGGCGACCACGTAGTCGCGATACACAGTTGTAGTTGGATGTATGTAAAGTAGTCTTACTGGACACTATATTGTACAGCTTCATTAGTCTTGATGCAGTTCTCACATGCCATGCTACCAAGTGGTGTCGTCTGTCTGCAGTAAGGTGCTGAGGTAGATAGGTACGCGCTTTGAACGTTAGCATGTAAAACATTTGCTGACTTATCTTGGTAAGAGCCACTTGTGTAGCTCTCCGTCTTTCTCCTGCTTCTCCTCTACGTACCTCAAGTAAAATGGATAGCTAACCTCATGACGCACTTCGACTCAGCGGTAGCTGACTTAGCAAATCGACTCAGCGAGTGTCGACTTAGCGAGAGCTGACCCAGCAAGTGTTGACCCAGCGGGTTTGACATAGCCATTATTGGACAGCGAGCGTTGACCAAATAAGCGTTTCGAGAAATACGACCAGCACATAGCGCAACTTCACGTGTCCCTCTTGTGACGCCAAGGAGGGCAGTGCATATATGAATTGAACAATCTCTAACACTTGGCACATCCAAGTCTAAGTCAGACCCCTGACATATGCCTAGTTAAGGCTGAGATGCGTTCACCGGTAGACGTCGTGTGGTAGCAGCACAAAAGGTTCTGCCGGTCGATCGGCGCGGTTGCATCGACAGAAGCTCCTGTTGATATTCGGTATTAGCGTGTTTAGGGGGGTCGAACATGACTATCTTTTATTAAGCAGAGGGTTTGTCGAACTAGGTAATAACATACCGTATCGATCGTCGCCGATGTGGATAAAGCGACATGTGGCATGCCAATTTTTCAGGACGTGTCAAAGCTTCTGCAGTCGATGCAAATCTCCACTGACAATGTGTTTTAGAGCGTATGAAGATGTTGATGCCCGTCTCAAGTTAACATGACTGCCGCGACGCGACGAAAATTCGAATTCGCACCACATTTTCTCAGTTAGAGTAATCGTGAGCTATGGTTGCGCTCAGCACTCATTGTACCCTAAGGTGCATTGTGTGTAAGACAAATGACGCACAGTCACAGTCTACATGATTCGTCACCCACCTATTATCATGGTTATTGAGATGCACCGGTTCCGTCTAGAAGTACACTCATATTGTATGAAACTCTCCGTGGCGGTGCAGAAGTAAGGAAGCAAAAGACAGAATCCAGGCATCCCATTGTCGTATCAAAAGGTTGGAAAGCGGATATATAGTCAATGAAATACACAGGTGCTTAAAGCAACTAATTTCGTGCTACAGGTTACATGCGATTACTTGGCGATTATTCTTACAAACGTCGGGGTACTATGCATGTGACGATAGTACCTCGCGCAAATTTTAGTCGCTCTACAAATAGTACGATCCTTCATCAGCCCATAAGGACCATGGACTGGTTCCGTCGTTAGTGTGAATATGCATAAGTTTAGCAGATCGTCACAAGACGGTGGGGGGTACTAGGGGCGATGCAACCGACTGATCTATGAACATAAAGACAATCTACACTTACGACGATGAATGTGTCACCATCACATAGCCAATGTGTAATGCTGAGCTTAGTAGTGCAGTATATCTTATCCCCGCACGGACCGATGTGACACCAAACATGCCACCCTGCGCCCAATTCAAATGCAAGGCATTTAGTGCCATGTCCATCAAACAATAGTAAATTGCCTCATTTTTGTTGCGCGAAGAGCCCTACAATAAGGATGACGGTGAACTTCTGAAGAGGCAGTTTATAGCAGCAACTACAACTTGTAAAATCAATCCAACACATGTCGGAAGATCGAAGATACTGTGGTGCATCGGCACAAACGACGTAGAAGTGCCTAAGGTGGGTAATAAAGTAAGTGAGCTTCCGCTGAATTGTTTTTTGTGGGTTATTTATCACCAATTTGTATCCCGCTTATTACTTTGTTGCCAAATAATCTATATAAATTGATCGCTAATTGGTGCTTACTAACATTGCTTGCTAGCCGAGAGGATTCTCGCGAGGCTGACTAGAGCGGTCGACTTACACGAGGCGGACGCGTCGAGAGTGGCAGAAGACGGGCTTTCCATTTCATTTGAACATGCATATGTCATTAGGAGAAGGATAGATAGCGACACATGTGTAAGGAATGTAGTGACAAGCGATAAAACAACGCAATACAGAGATTACTAAGTCTAAGACACACATATAGTATCACGGTAAGTATTTTGGTGGTCCAGATGATGCCTGACATCGAACCTCACGTGACATATCTTGTTGCGGTTCCACCTAGTATCACCAAGAAGTTTAGTAATCATGAGATGGCAACATTAGCTACCATAGAAATAAGGAGTTTAGTCTGTCGACTGTCGTGTTAGCAATTATAACCCACTCCATAGATAATATCGAGTAAAGAGATGTTGAGCCTTAGCCGATAAAAACATTGTATTTCGATTTAAGCCAATACTGCTTCCGATAAATTCTAGATGATATAAAGCTTTGGCGGTCTCCCGTTGATGTGAGGTCACAAAATCGTGAGGATGGAACTTTTCTGTAATCAGCGAGTCAACTGGAGATGTGGTACTGAGATATAAACTGGCGAAAGCTACGTCTAAAATTGTAAGGGAGAAGTATAAAGGTGTTGTTGAGCTCACAAAGTAGTCCAAATTCATCGACTTATGTGGCGAGTACTCTGATTATCACGTAGAAGTATGCTGTATGATCCCTTCTTAGTACTAATTGCTAAGCAAAGAAGATCCACCGCACTCGACCTGGATGACAATCAAAAATATCATTCTGTAACTACTCTGGCTCATGGTGTGGAATTGGAGCTTCATGGTCATCTATTTACATGTTGTAAGTGTGCCAGATGCCTGAAAACTTCTACGCCAGGATATTAGCGATGGTCGCGGCAGCGGATCGTGATCGACTCCAACGTATGGTTGTTTTTCTCGTGGCTTTAGCTACAATGTAAGGCAAGCATGAAGCCGGGATACACGGACAGCGGTAGCCGCAGCTCGATGCTAGGTATTGAAATGGTCTCCAGCTACCAAAGACCGCGTTTCTAGTAAGTAGCTACATTATCTTGTAAATAAGCCAAGAATCCACTGAAAAATGCTGCATTTCTCTCTCTCCATTAATGCTACTGACCGACGAACATAAGGATGAATCAGATGCGTTCAAATTCTTTGATGGCGACGTCACAATCACCTTGAAAAGATTTGTGCAACATAAGAATTAACCGAAGTGTAGTTTGAGAAGTGATGCGATTGGCGCAGTGACTAAAAAAGTTCGAAAAGACTGGGCAAGTCGCACACTCTCCAGTAAAATGGCTGATACATTGACTTCGGACAACTTATGCAGTGTGGCAGTTTCAGAAAATGTCCTCTGCCGTCTTTTTGTATCTCTTGTGCTGCAGCAACTTTTAGCAGCTATTGTCCACCGTGAGACCATAATGGCATACATCCAGCTACTTGACCGCG